CCAGGAGGAGGAGGGTAAGCATATGGCAGCAGGCTCCGTGTGGTGGAAACCGCGTGGGTAGGGCCTGGAGGGTGGAACAGAATTGCCGGCTAGTGCAGAGGGGAAGAGGTGGGCACAGCAGGTCGGGCCTTCAACATCAATCGCACGGAGCCACGCCACCCTCACCTGGGTCCGCCCCTCCTTCCCTGCCAGCTCCGCGGCAGTGGAGGCGGGTGGTAAGGACCAGGTGGGGTCTGCTGGGCTGGGGGTGGCACAGAGAGTCTCTGCTGCAGGGGCGCATCCTGCTGGGACCTGAGGGGCTCCCGCTGCGGAGAGTGGACGTGCAGGCTGCCAACGGTGTGATCCACATGCTGGAGGGTGTCCTGCTGCCCCCAACCATCCTGCCCATCCTGCCCAAGCACTGCAGCGAGGAGCAACACAAGATTGTGCCGGTGAGTGTCAGCCCCCGCCGGGGCCAGTCACCATCTCCCCAGGCAGACTCCCCAGCTGGGCCACCTGGACTCCCCCACACCCTGCCGTCCCAGCCCTGTGGACTCTGCCTTTGAGGCTTTACGCACCCACCCTGCCCCTGCCGCTCTGCTCTTTCTCGGACGCCAGCTCTGCCCTCTGCCCATGATGCCAGCCCGAGCTGTCCTGTCCCTCAGGCCTTGGCTCACGTCCCTTTCTCAGCCTTTGCTGAGTAAATCAGCAGTGACTAGCCTCTCTCCCTGTCCTCTCCCCGCCCACCCTGCCCAGGGCTCCTGTGTGGACTGCCAAGCCCTGAACACCAGCACATGCCCCCCCAACAGTGTGAGACTGGTGAGCTCCCCTTGGCCCAGCCCTCAGGGCCCCTGACTCCTGGCTGCCTGGCGAGGTGTCTGCCCTGGGTCATAGCAGGGAGAGTAGGGGCTGGGAGGCCAGGCCAGACCCGGAGGCTCAGGGCCTCACAGCCCCACCGAGGGTGGGAGCCCTGGACCCAGGGGGCTGAGGTCCCTTGACCAGGGCTCCCTGGCAAAGGGGCTGGCCCAGGACCCACACCGGCTGACCAGCCTTGTGTGGCCCACCCCAGGACCTCTACCCCAAGGAGTGTGTCTACATCCATGACCCTACTGGGCTCAACGTGCTGAAGAAGGGCTGTGCCAGCTACTGCAACCAGACCGTCACGGTGAGCCTGCACACCTGCCCACCTGGTCCCTCCCGCTGGGGCTGAGCGGGCTGCTGTCCTCAGAGAGCGGCATTGCAGTCCAAGGGCGGAAAGGGTGTCACAGAGGGGCCTTACCCACTCCCTTGCTCTAGAGATGGGACAGGGAGCAGAAGCAGCCTGGCCAGGGAGGACTGTGGCCCAGAGAGACCCTCAGACATGCTCTGTCTCTTACAGAAACTTGGCTGCTGCAAAGGATTTTTTGGGCCCGACTGCACACAGTGTCCTGGGGGCTTCTCCAACCCCTGCTATGGCAAAGGCAATGTGAGTCCCATACTCCCCTGGGGGGAGGCATGGGGAAGACAGGGGACTCCCTGCTGAGTTGGCCAGTGACTGGCTCTGTGTCTGGACCAAGCCTGCCTCTCTCTGGCCTTAGGGTCCTCATATCTAGGCAATGAAGATTAGATCAAATTATTTCTCATTTTAATTAAAAATAATTAGATTTTTTTCCATTTATTTTCAAAAATGCAACTTTCTTTTGTGTTCTGTTTCTGCCACTTTGTAATATCAGGGTTACTTTAGCACCTGGCTGTGAAAGAACACAGGAGTTACGTGTTTCCAGGTTGAGCACAAGTCACCTATGATGCCTGCAGGGCCAGGTGCCTTTTAGGGGGCTAGGTCTTTGGCAGCATCAGTGATTTTGAAAGTCCCTTCCAGGGTGAGCTCTATGGGGAGCAGGAGCTCGGAGCTGGGGAAGGGGATGTGGAGAGTCTCTTTCCCATAACTGATCTGCCTCCTGCCCACCCTCCAGTGCAGCGATGGGATCCAGGGCAACGGGGTCTGCCTCTGCTTCCCAGACTACAAGGGTATCGCCTGCCACATCTGCTCCAACCCAAACAAGCATGGAGATCTGTGCCAGGAAGGTGGGTGGTCCTGGCCTAGGCTGTCTCCTGGGGAGAAAGAGGGTCTGCTTAGGAAGGGGTCTGGGGGCTCCCAAGAAGGGAAACAGGGCCCCAGGAGGAGAAATGAAGGCCAGAAGGAGTGGAGGAAGATTTAGGAACACAAATAGATGCTGTCTCCCTCACCCGTGCCAGGAAGAGAACTGTGGTTTAATCTAAGGCATGCAGGATTTACGTCAAACACACTGAAGAACTTCCTGGTGGGGGGAGCAGGGCAGCTAGAATGGAAAGATTGAAAGCTCAGAATGCCCCTCACATTTCATGTGCCTGTCCATCAAGTCTGGGATGACCTCTGATTTTGTGACCCTGAAGTAAAATCTATACTGGCTGCCCTATTCCAAACCTCCCTCCACCAACCCATCCTGGCTCCCAACCAGTCCCGCCTCCTGCCTCAGTTTCCCTGCTCGCATCTCATCCCTGCAGACTGCGGCTGTGTCCATGGTCTCTGTGACAACCGTCCAGGCAGCGGGGGTGTGTGCCAGCATGGCACATGTGTCCCTGGCTTCACTGGCCGCTTCTGCAATGAGACAGTGGGGGACTGTGGGCCCACGGGGCTGGCCCAGCACTGCCACCTGCATGCCCGCTGTGTTAGCCAGGGGGGTGTCGCCAGGTGAGGACTCGCGCTTCCTCTCTGCCCCATCCGCAACCTTGCCTCTAGCCTCTTCCAGAGGCTCACCGGAGGCCCCTTCTCCACCACCCCCCAGATGTCTCTGTCTCGATGGCTTTGAGGGTGATGGCTTCTCCTGCACACCCAGCAACCCCTGCTCCCACCCAAACCGTGGAGGCTGCTCGGAGAACGTCAGTCCCCTTGCCCCTTCCCTGAAGTTCTGACGCGGGGGCGGGGAGGTAGGCCTTCCTGGCCCTCTACCCATGGCACTGTGTCCCTGAGTTATTTATCCATGGCTCTCACAGGCTGAATGTGTCCCTGGGCCCCTGGGCACCTACCACTGCACATGCCACAAAGGCTGGAGTGGGGATGGCCGCATCTGTGTGGCCATTGATGAGTGTGAGCTGGCCGGGCGAGGTGGCTGCCACACCGACGCTCTCTGCAGCTACGTGGGCCCTGGGCAGGTGAGGCGCAGCAGGCCCAGGGACGGCAGAATGGGGTGGGGGCTTCTGTTCTGGAGGACTCTCTCCCTGCTCCACTCCTGGAGTCACATGCTCAGTGTCTCAAACCTCAGCTGCACGTGGGAATCCAGCTCTGACCGGCTGAGTCGTACCACCTGGGGTTAGTTCACTCATCCACTCACTGGGTTCCCACGTGTCGTCAGGCACCTGTTGCGTGCGAGTCGCTGTTCTAGACTCAGGGGATGTGATACTGAGCAAAACAGGAAGAGACCCCTGCCCATGGGAGCGACATTCCCAAATCTTTAGGCTCATGGAAATCCAGCTCTGGAACTTTGAAGTCTCAGATTCTGGTCACAGGCTCTTAGAGGCCTTTCAGGCCTGGTGAACCCAAGTTCTGACAGGCATTGAAGGACACCTAAAATGCCAAGTGGGAGGCCAGGCCTTGCTTGTTCAGGTCAGCCTCTGCATGGCCCAGGCCCGTGCAGGGACCCAGGGGGTTCTCTGTCCTCCCAACTCCACGATGGCCTTTGGGCACCAGCCCATGGGGCCTTAGCAGTATGAACTCAGATGGTGTGAGAGCTGGAGCTCCAAACCCCATCTGAGCCTTAAAATTCAGAACGGAGTTGTCGAATGAACAGGTGAGATGCCCCCAACTTCGAAACAAGGGCCGCTGAGATCTGGCAGGGAAGCGGTCTCACTGCTTAGTCACCTGCAGTGTGGACAAGCCCAAGGGCTACTGGTGTTCACTGGGAGGGATCAGAGCAGCTGAGCAGGGTGGCAGTGAGGGAGGCGGGATCTGAGCCACCATCCCTGGGACTGGCCTTGGCAGATACCTGCCCGCTTGCCACAAGCCGCTGGCCTCAGCGGTCCCGGCAGGGCTCCAGGTGCAGAGGGGCCCCAAGTCTCCGTGGATGCTCCCCTGCCAATGCCATTGCTTTCCAGGACCATCCTGAGAGCCAGTTTCCCCCCAGGGCCTCAGTTTCCCTGTGCAGAGCACAGATCTCCAAGAGGAGGCGCTAGGAGAAGCTCCTCTGGGGTCTGGGCAGGCTCCCTGGGGGCAGTAGCCAGTGAGAGCCAAGGAGTGGAGGAGAGGGTCGGGGGCTCATGGCGCGAGGAGGCCCTCTGTTCCTGACCTCTCCAGAGCCGGTGCACCTGCAAGCTGGGCTTTGCCGGGGATGGCTACGAGTGCAGTCCCATCGACCCCTGCCGGGCAGGCAACGGTGGCTGCCATGGCCTGGTGAGGGGGTGTGAGGGCTCAGAGCCCTGGGGAGGCTTCTGGGGTGGGCTTGGGCTGCAGCTCCGTCCCTGTCCCTGTTTCTCTCCCTCCCTCTCTCTCTCTAGGGGTCTCCTGTCAGGATCGGGATCTTTCTAAACTCCAAATCCAACCATATCCCTCACTTGTTCACAGAATAAAGCCTTCTCACCTCCTTATTAAGGCCACGGGCCCTGCACATGCCAGCCCAGCCTCCCCACCCCAGCAGCCCCTCTCTGATCCACCCCCAGTGCATGCTCCTCTGGCCACTCTGAGCTCCTCCCTGCCCGGCCTTGTTTTTCTCCATCCCATATACCCTGAGTCGCTCCCCCTGCTCTCAGCTCAGGCTCCTGAGGGTACAGGGCCTGCTAGGTGCTCCCACAGCCTTGGGCATCCCCCGACCCATCTGTCATGATGGGGGCCGATGCCCACATCAAATGCCCCATGATCCTGGCATGCAGGGCCAGGCACGCCCAAGCCATCCCATGAGCACAGATGGGGTGGCTGGACAGGCAGAGAGATGGGGGTGGGGCCAGCTTGCCACATGGGTACTGAATAGAGGGCCTTGTCTCTGCCCCACCCCCACCCTAGGCCACCTGCCGGGCAGTGGGCGGAGGTCAGCGGGTCTGCACATGTCCCCCTGGCTTTGGGGGTGATGGTTTCAGCTGCTATGGAGACATCTCCCGGGTAAGTGGTGCTCATACTCGTTTCCTGTCTTCCCTATGCTTGGGGAGGGGTCCTCTTATGTACCTCTAGTGGGAAAGGGGGGTGCTTGGGTCCTTGGTGGGGAATGGCTTGAATTTGCCCTTAGGCACGTGACCTCAGCTCTTTCCATCCCCTTAGGAGCTGGAGTCAAATGCTCAGTTCTCTGGCTTCTACCAGTGGTTCAAGGTAGGACAGGGCAGAATGCTGGGGTTGGGGCTCAAATCTAGGAGGCCTGCCTGGAGGTGGGGTGCCACATAACATCTTTAAGAGCTGGAGGTGGGGTACAGGCCTGGAGGCCTGGAGCAAGTGGTCTCTAGACTGCCTTCATCACTCCTCCTGTCCCCCACTCACCGTGTGCATGCAGAGTGCTGGCATCACGCTTCCTACTGATGGCCGCGTCACAGCCCTGGTGCCCAGCGAGGCTGCGATCCGTAGGCTGAGCCCCGAGGACCAAGCCTTCTGGCTGCAGCCGAGGGTGCTGCCGAACCTAGTCAGGTGGGGTAGCCTTGGCTGGGCCATAGGAGGGGCCTTCAGTAGGGACCCAGCCCCTACCCAGAGGGTCCTCAGCCTGGCATGTGCCCACCCCTTGGGGTAGGGCCCAGTCCCAAGGGTCTCTGTTAGTTATGCTAACCTATTCCATGACCTCCTATAAACTGTACCCCTTCAGGGCCCATTTTCTTCAGGGCGCCCTCTGCGAGGAAGAGCTAGCCCGGCTAGGTGGGCAGGATGTGGCCACCCTGAGCCCCACCACGCGCTGGGAGATTCACAACATCAGTGGGGTATGTGGTGAGCTCTGGGCAGTAGAGGTGACCAGGCAGAGCATGGGAGGGAGCTCGAGTGGCTGCAGGCTCCCTCACACCAGGGCCTCCGTGAGATGAGACTGGGCTCCCCTGGCCCTGCCCAGAGCTGGGTTCAGAAGATGTGCTCAGGACACCTTGCTGATGGGCAGTATGCCTTTGGGCTAACAGTGACCACCTGCCAGGGGCTATCTGTCCACCTAAATCTGGATGTGCATATCCATCCCTCTCACCATGGGCCCTGGGGAGGGTCTATGTGCCCATGTGATCAATCCTGAGTGTGAGTGTCTCAGTGGGCCAGGCTGGGCCATGGGAGGGGTCTTCTCTGTGGGACCCAGCCTCTGGGCCAGGCTGGGGACCACCAGTGGGTACCTGTGTGCCCAGCAGCCTCTCTGTTGGGGCTGTACCCACTCTTAAGCGTCTATCTGTGCCCACCTGTGACTGAGCGTGGCTGCTGCCTTCCAGAGGGTCTGGGTGCAGAATGCCAGTGTAGATGTGGCTGACCTCCTTGCCACCAATGGTGTCCTACACATCCTCAGCCAGGTATGGCCAGAGCAGGGTATGTGCAGGGAGCCTTCAGGCAGGCCGAGAGACAGCGACACCCTGACCAGTCCTCATGCTCTGCACCAGGTCTTACTGCCTTCCCGAGGGGACGTGCAGTGTGGGTTGCTGCAGCAGCTGGCCTTGGTGCCTGCCTTCAGCCTCTTTCGGGAGCTGCTGCAGGTAAGTGAGGCTGCCAAGAGGGGAGTGTCTGCTCAGGGGGCACCATCCCCTGTGTCGGGAGGGGGCTGGCTGGCTCCCCATGTCAGGACTGAGGACCAATATGCCTGTTCCTGACCCCCGCCCCCATCCCTAGCGCCACAGGCTGGTGTCCCAGATTGAGGCCGCCACTGCCTACACCATCTTCGTGCCCACAAACCGCTCCCTGGAGGGCAATAGCAGCAGCCTGGTGAGGCCATAGGGATGGGGCACAAGGCGGGAGGCTGAAGGCACACAGCGGGAGCCTCCCATCCCACGGCAAAGGGATGCAGTGGGTGCGACTTGCCATCCAGGGCACTTGCTAGCGCTGGACCCATGCGCACTCCTTCCTTCCCAGGACGCAGACACAGTGCGACACCACGTGGTCCTAGGGGAGGCGCTCTCTGTGGAAGCCCTGAGGAGGGGGGGACACCGCAACTCCCTCCTGGGCCCTGCCCACTGGCTCGTCTTCTACAACCACAGCGGCCAGGTTTGGGGGACGTGGAGCAAGGAGACCCTATCCCAGGGACCCTGCTCTTGAGGACCCCTTCTCTTTGGAGTCTCCCCACCTGTGAGCCTCCAACTTCTGCCCCAGGGAGACCCCTCCCATCCCTGGAGATACCCTCAGCCCTGGGGTGCCTCCTGACCTCACAGCCCTGAAGGGGAGGGTGATGGGAGGATGGGTGGATTCAGTCTCCCGTCCCACCCCCCAGCCTGAGGTGAACCACGTGCCGCTGGAAGGCCCCGTGCTCGAGGCCCCTGGCTGCTCATTGTTTGGCCTGTCGGGGGTCATGACGGTGGGCTCCAGCCGCTGCCTGCACAGCCACGCTGAGGCCCTGCGGGTGAGAGGCTGGGGATACAAGAGGGCAGCTGGGGAGTTAGGAGCCAGGGGCTGCTGGCTGGTGGGGAGGGGCACTAGGGCAGCCTGCCCTGGAGGAAGGATGGTGGGTTGGGAGCCCCTGACCCTGGACCACCTGATGCCCTGCCCTCCTTCCTTCCAGGAGAAATGCGTAAACTGCACCCGGAAATTCCGCTGCACTCAGGGCTTCCAGCTGCAGGTGAGGCTGGACTTAGCACAGCTCTGACCCTGCTCTGCCTGCCCTTGCTGTCCCCAAGGTGCCAACCCCCTACCCCTAACCCCAGCCTTGCCTGGCCCAGGCATGGGGAACTGGGCAGCCGATTTCCCTGGTGGAGAGGGCCGGAGGCCTGGCCTAGCTCTGCTCAGAGAGTCACTCAGGTTTGCAGCCTGAGGCCTGGATCCTGCCTGCCTGCCCGCCCCTCCCTGCCCCTTCTGCTATCTTGCTTATCTGTCAGACACCTGTAGTTTGTCCATCTGTCTCCCCATTCACTACCCTGCCCCTGCCCAAGCCACTGGCTGACTCCTACTGCCTGTCCCCGTTTCCAGGACACACCCAAAAAGAGCTGTCTCTACCGATCTGGCTTCTCCTTTTCCCGGGGCTGCTCTTACACATGTGCCAAGAAGATCCAGGTTCGTCCTGAGCCCCCACCCCAACTCTGGCCAGAGAGGAGGAGGCGGGAATGGGTGGGGGCCCAGGAGAGGAGCCCGGATTGGATGTCAATGGCAGAGGCCAGGCTGGGACTAGGGTAAGGTCAGTGAAACAAGGGCCCAGAGGAAGGGGAGGGGAGAGAGGTCTGGAGTTGGAGGGCTAGTGTTTGTCCCTGTGTCTACCTGCCAGGGAGTGGGGACGGGGACAGGGAGAAAGGGACTCAGTCCCGAGTGGCTCCATCAGCCAAGCCCCAGGGGCAGCAACTGGGCCTGGCTCTGATCCTCACTGTGGGATCAGGGCTCAGTTCTTCTCTGCTTGAGCCTCAGTTTCCCCACCCCTGCTGGGGGAGGGTTGTAGAAGGCTTTCTCCATGCCCCCTTTGTCTCTGACTTTCTACCTGTCCCTGGGTCTGGGGTTCCAAGTTGCTTTGTTCTATGGCCCTGTGGCCCCAAGATGCCTCCTTTCCCTTCCTCTGACATCTGTCCTGGCCTGTGTCGGGCCTCTCCCTCCTTCCTGCTCCTACAGGTACCCGATTGCTGCCCTGGCTTCTTTGGCACACTGTGTGAGCCGTGCCCAGGGGGCCTCGGGGGCGTGTGCTCGGGCCACGGGCAGTGTCAGGACAGGCTCCTGGGCAGTGGGGAGTGCCGCTGCCACGAGGGCTTCCACGGAACAGCCTGTGAGATGTGTGAGCTGGGCCGCTATGGGCCCAACTGCACTGGAGGTGAGGTCTGGGGCAAGGGCGGGCGGAGGTGGGGGGCTCCTGGCAGAGGAGGGCTGGCTAGAGGCACTGAGTAACTCTTGTCTTCCCTTGTCCCACTTGCAGTGTGTGACTGTGCCCACGGGCTGTGCCAGGAGGGGCTGCGAGGAGATGGAAGCTGTGTCTGTAACGTGGGCTGGCAGGGCCTCCGCTGTGACCAGAGTGAGAGTGGGTCCCAAGGGCAGGGGGTGAGTGATTACTGGGGAGGCCGTTCCTGGGTCTGAATGACTAGAGCCATCCTCTTACCCTCCAGAAATCACTGGCCCTCAGTGCCCCAAGAAGTGTGACCCCAATGCCAAGTGAGTGGGCCCAGCCTGGGGCAGGTGGGCAGGGGCCTGGGGGTTGGGGCAGGGGCTGGGCAGGCACAGCTGAGCTGCTGCCATCCCTCCTAGCTGCGTGCAGGACTCTGCTGGAGCCCCCACCTGCGTCTGTGCGGCGGGATACTCGGGCAACGGCACCCACTGTTCAGGTCCAACCACATGGATGCCAGGGCCCCTCCCTGAAATTTTGGGGTGGCTGTCCCCACAGAGCCCCCCTCCACTCCGTCTAGATCTAGCCTCTATCACTGTCCCTCCTTGGGGCTTACCCCTCCTTCTGACCTTTTCCTGTCTCATGCCCTCCTCTCCTGTGCCATCCCATGCCGGCTCCTCACAACTCTCTGGGACCATCTACCCGTAGAGGTGGACCCCTGTGCCCATGGCCACGGGGGCTGCTCCCCCCATGCCAACTGCACCAAGGTGGCGCCTGGGCAGCGGACATGCACCTGCCAGGATGGCTACATGGGCGACGGGGAGCTGTGCCAGGGTGAGGCTGGGCTGCCAACCCGGGTGCATGTGGGGCTGGAGGTCTGGCTTCAGGGATCCGAGTGAGCTTAGGAAGGGCTGAGGGGCACAGGTGTGGGGGCTGGGGGAATGAGAGAGGAGGGGATGAGCACCTGAAGATACAGATGGACAGATGAAGAGAAGGGCTAAGGACCACCTCCATCCTGTGTCTCTTCCCCCAGAGGTTAACAGCTGTCTCATCCACCGCGGGGGCTGCCACATTCATGCCGAATGCATCCCCACAGGCCCCCAGCAGGTCAGCATGGCAGGGCTAGACGCTGGGGCTGTGCCATTCCCTC